AGACTTTAGTACATAGTTATGTAAATGTATGTAGCTTTTACAGCTGATATAAAAAAAAAATTAAAAGTATAGGTATTCGCACATACGTTGACCCAAACAACGTCAAACAAACGTACAGATTTCTGTTACTTATTTGAAAAAATTATAACTTTAGGTATAGCGTTTTCGGTTTTAAAATCATCGCGTTTAAATTTTTTGTAAAATTAATTGTTTACGTTTATTGTCAATTAAAAATGATAACACATTTAAATAATTTTATTATTCTAAAATGTAGATAAAAAACATATACTCAGCAACTATTTATGTGTACAAAACAAGACAGTATTTTCTATTTCGTTTTGATTTTTTTGGTGTTGTCATTTGCTAAACTTTTGTGGTACTTCAGAAAAGATGATGGTCTCACTAAACACTAAAATGGTCCTAATCCAATGATAAATTGTAAATGGATTTTTAGAAAAAAAAATATACTAAACAATAAATTAGTAAATTTCCTGAGCGTTATAACCAGCGTTACTGTTAATAATGAACACTCTGTAGTTAAAAAAGTATACAGAACTTACACAAATATATCTGGAAAATAACATTTAAAGAAAACAAAACATACATGTGCATTGTACATGTTAAATTTAAATATTAAGAAATCTTATCGCATAATTAAAAAGATACTATAATATATACACGCTCTATTACCGATTAAGTAAACAATTGTACTAGGTATACCCAATCTAATAAAAAGGCAACGGTTTACTTTCAAATGCTATTGTGATATGTTCCTTTAAGTTGTAATAGAGAAACAAATAAAATAAACCGACTGTTAGAAGGCTAGTTGGCGTAAGCCACCATTTTCTCGAAAGTCACTTTTCGTCATTTAAGCCTAATTGTGAGTAACATTATGGTTTTTGGGCTTTACTAAACAATTTGATTTTTTGCACTCACGCCAAATAAATGGATTAATATAAAAATTAGAACTTTAAATAGCGTTTTCCAACTAAAGAGAACAGAAAAATTACTGTATTTTTATTTTGGCTCTCCTGTAAAATTACAAGACCTTTTTCCTTATTAGCATTGAAATATGTCAAAAACCCCTGGTTTAAATTATGAAAAAACTCACAAAAGTCTATTAAATTTTCTTTTGCAGAACTTGTCTATTGGCAATCGACTAGTAGGAACAACAGCGTTTGCATAAAGATTTTAAGATTGTTATACTTGATTGAAGTTTTTTTTATTAAATTACAGTTATTACGTAAATTAGCAAAAAAATGGTACGCCAGTACACATATTATTATTAATTAATTATTAATAATTCTCTCATGGCCATTTAAATTTATACAAGCGCAGTTCTCTGTGACCATAGATAAGTATATTGTATGGCTGAGAGCTACGATGATATCACACATTACATGCCGTATCTTATCAAATATAAAAAATAATATGGAACAGATTACAGTCCAGTGAACTTAGATTTATAACCATAATGTACATCATGTCCACAAGTCTATATACTTATTTTTAATACTGTTATATAATATTTGTATACATATATTATATTATACATATTGTCAAAAGATGTTATAGACTAATGTAATAGAACAGTATTATTGTTCGTCGCCGATGAACAGCTGCAGCCTTTAAAGACTACGGTATTTATTGAATTTAGAACGTCGATCTTATAAATTTATATTAGGTAATGCCATTTTTATTTTAAATAATATCATTGGTTTTAAAACCAATGATATCATAATATACATCAATATAATTTAATTGTTTATGTAATGTAATTTAACGTTTATTGTTTTAATCTGATATTTGCACAAAGTATTGTTGATTTCATATTTGTTGATAAACTAAACTCCAAAAGAAAAATGACACCCGGTTACGATATTATTTATTCGGAGCTATTGAAGATAGGAGGGAAAAGTCTTTTAAAACCCTTACAGTGTCTTAGTGCCGAAATATGGAAAAGTAAATAAACATAGACCGACATAGCAAGGCGGATTTAAAAATGTATACGAATAGATAAATTATAAAAAATTACTGTAGACATTTGAAAACAACAATATGCATAATGTTATAAATACAAATAATATAATAGTATATCGACTTGCATCCAAAAAAACTAAGTCGTTTTTTTAGTGAAATATTTTCGTAGGTATTCAAAACACTTGTACAAATAAAAACGACAACAACAGCAGAAAAAAAAAATTCGTTTTAAGAAGGTGAACCGGTGATTTTCAGTGGTTAAAAACATGTTTACGCCAACTGAAAATAACTCGATTGATTTTGGTTTTAGAGTAAAAGCACCGATGATAAAATTAAAAGAGAACAATATTCTGGAGGGCGAAAAGGTGCGTTTTTAAAAAAAAAATCATTTTTTGAAAAGTCATTTAAAAATATTAAAATAGTCGTTATTTCTAAACTATTTATTGAGCCTTATACTTGGAATAATGAAAAAAACGCACCATCTAGCCCTCCGGAATATTGTTCTCTTTTAATTTTATAATGGGTGCTTTTACTCTAAAACCAATTTTCAATTCAAATCTACGCGTTGAAAAAATATAAAAGTTTATGCTTACTGTTTAAAATTGTGATAAATGTACAAAAATACCGACTATCACATACGGTTATGATAATGAAAGACAAGATGCAAAATTAAAAAATAAACAAAACTATAAGTAGTATGGGTACATAGAAAAAAAAACAAAAATGTTACAAATAAAAGAGTATTTAATATATCGCTTTCTATTAGCCACATGATTAAGAAAATAATGTTACTGTTAAAATATAATCACTACAACCTTTACACAATAATAATGGCCTTCGACATGTTGGAGAACATTATCAACCTTAAGGCTTATGTATGTGTTTTTAATAATTATTATTATACAGGGTGTCCCATTTTAAAATACTAATCGATTTTTCTCTAAAAATACTGATCCAATCAAATAGTTGCTTATTAGAGACTTTTAGAGTACAAAGGGAAACAGTATAAGAAATTAAAAAATAGGGTCCAAAATTCAAAATGGCCGGCTTACGGTCAAAAATATGTTTTTTTTAAATGGAAACCATGTATTTTTTGCTAACCAAACAAATGTTCTTATCAAAACTAACAACTTTTGTAGGAAATTTTTTTCGAAAAACCCATAATTTGTAAATTAAGTATCTTTAGCTATTTTTAGTTTTGATATTTTATTTTTATGCATATGGTAACTTTGTCACGTGTAGTAACTTTGGTATGTGTGGTAACCTTGGTTTGTGTGATAACTTGGTATGAGTGGAAACCTTGGTTTGTGTGGTAACCACGGTATGTGTGGTAACCGTGGTATGTTTATAATTTCCCAACTTAACCTAACCTTACCATTACATTATCATTATCTTTATCGTTAACGTTATCCTCTTCTGTGTATCACAAAGACAAAACCCATGGTTATCACACATACCAAGGTTACCACACATACCAAGGTTACTACACATGACAAGGTTATGGGTTTTTCGAAAAAAATGTCCTACAAAAGTTGTTAGTTTTGATAAGAACATTTGTTTGGTTAACAAAAAATACATGGTTTCCATTTAAAAAAAACACATTTTTGACCGTAAGTCAGCCATTTTGAATTTTGGACCCTATTTTTAAAACTTTTATAACGTCCCCCTTTGTACTCTAAAAGTCTTTAATAAGCAACTTATTGATTGGATAAGTATTTTTGGAGAAAAATCGATTAGTATTTTAAATTGGGACACCCTGTATAATAATATGTATTATTTCGACGGGACTGATGCGATGGTTGGATTTATGATTATTATACTTGCAAGAATTCGGGAAATAACACACTGTGCAAACGCCTTTTTACGATATTTACAAGCATATATCGGTTGTTTTTATACAGTAGACTACGCAAATATTGACACATTTCCTAGCGGGGCATAATAGGCTTTATGTGTTTGGAAAAACTCATTTTAAAACGGCTAACGTTGTGTAGGTAAATCGTTCAATACATAATCGACTCATAGTGAGTTTTTAAAACTATTACTGAAACGCAAGTCCAAATATATTGCATAAATATATATTTAGGTGTGTATGTTAGGCTACATTTATTAGTAAAATAGAAATTGATTGGACTTTGAAAACATTAATCGAAAGAGCCGTAGCATTTTTAATTTTCTTTTAAAAATTTAGATTTTTACAATAATTGTAATGAATTTTAACGATTATTTTTGATTATTTAGTTAGGTAAACTGCTTTATTTTTTTGACATTTTTATGTTTTTGCTTTGGCTGGCACACACACGGGAAAACGACACCATTGTATTCACAACGTTCAAAATAGAACTGAACAATAAATTCAATAATTTAAGTGGCCAAATTCTCTATGAATTTTTTTAGGCCAGATATTATGAAAACACTAATATTAGCCAGAAACTTGATATGTTTACTAGCCACCTTAGATACATAAAAAAGTATTTCGTGGTGTTGCGGACTCGTACGCAAGCTGTAAAAATATAACATGTAATACCTATGTAAAAACCTTTAATAGAGCCTTGCAAACATTTCAATAAAAAACAAAGCATGTAATGTAGTTAAGTAAAGTAGTGTATAAATTTAAATAGCTCTTAAATTTATATCCAACTTTGAAGTATTAGATTTTTGGTTAAGCGTCGGTTTTGTTTTATACCTTAATAGCTTCGTTTTTATTAACTATTTAAAATTTACTTCTTTCTGTTTTCATTTACTTTAGTATAAATTATTTAACTAAAGTATAAAAAACGAAAATATACATCGTATAATATATTTGTTGTATTCCATCAAAAAAAAATGTTAAGATCGTACGACCACTACAGGAAAATAAAAAGAGTTGTTTAGTATTAGTTTATTTTTATTCCAACGTCAGTTTCCAATTAAAACTAGGATATAATAATTTATCAGTTTACTTTAACTAAAACTAAAGAGTTCTAAAGGGTTCGAAAGAACCAGTATTTGTTAAATACTAGAAAAAAGAAAAGGTCTTAAAAAAAAAATGACGAGAAACGTTTGATTAAGATAAAGTATATATAGTATTTTTTTGTTTTTTTTAAGAACAATAGTCAAGATCTAAGACTTAATCATTGACTTATAGATTAATAATGATGTAGTAGGATGGGAAACCCAATCAGTTCTACCTAAAGATTGTAGGAGGTTGGACCACTTGGAAGTAAAGGAGAGTAAATACAATTCTCATTTTAATACAATACAAATTAAAAACGCACAGCTGTCTTCTTTACTGCTTAATTGTAAATCCTTAAAATTTTCATTTTCATTTCATCGTACTCCGTATTATATATGCGAGTCCAAGCTGAATTGCATTTAAAATTTGTTTAATTAGTTTAATATAAGAATTAGAATACTACTTCATTAACTAGGTTTTTTTTTGTGATAACTAATTTACACTTGTCACTTACACTCTTAAAGCCAAGTATCAGCTTTAAAAAAGTAATAATAATAACATGAAAACATTTGTGGAATTTAAATTTAGGCTGGCTAGTCATTTTTTTGTGTATAGCTTTTTAATAATAGTGGTAAATAATGATTGTAGATCTTCAATATAGGACAATATTTGGTCAATCAAGTCCGTAGTTATGTGTATTTTGTTAAAGGTAAAATCAGCAATTAATGATAAGTGATCGGAAGGATAGGCAAACGAGGGAAATCTGTTTTCGTCAACACTTTTTTCTTCTGGCATGGTGATTATGGTACTTACAGCTAGGTACTTTGGAGTGTAAAATATGTAGTCAAGAGTTTCTTTAACTTCACCTTCTTCGGCCCTGATCTTCCATGTTGTATATTCTGATTCTTTACCGTGTAAATTGTATGCGCTATCCAATCTGAATTTAGGGTTACTGCACATAGTCTTATATACGGGTTCGATGGGTTCAGCGTTGAAATCACCGGTTATAATAGTAGGACAGCGTTTAGCGTGTTTAGATACAAATTTCAAAAGATCTTCGCCTTGTTTGTTTCGTAAAGCTGACTCTCTTATACCTTTTTGTGATTTGAGATGAGTGGTGGCAACACAGAACTTAACTCCCGAACTTTTATCTCTCAGTATAACTAATAATGCCACCTGTCGACTACCTCTTGCTAAGTGATAAAAGTTCCATTTGTGTTTTTCTAAGAGCTCATATTTATTGTTATTGTAAAATATTGCTAAGCCATCCGGTCCATTATTTCCTTTTATCCCAATACAAGGTGTACGCTTTTTGGGTACAAATACACCACTATACGACTGAGTGGCCAAGGCTCTATTAAAGAAATCAAAGTGGTCGACTTCTTGTAAGCACATAACGTCGGGTTCATAGGCAAACATTTCATCGAGTATTAGACATCGCCGGTAAACCCATTCCAATGCTTCAGTAGGACATCTACTAAAGTTATCTTTATATAGGCCTAAGACATCCGATAGAATATTCCATTGTAACACCCTTACCCTCAACCCATTTTCCGAGTTCGCTCTATGATTAGTCCAATTTAAATCTAAAGTGGACTTTCTTCGGATCCGTTGAGAACACGTGTCTCTGACATATGTGCTGTGACTATGACAAAAATCCAACAGTTCTTTACTTGTCATTTCAGGTTTAAATTCCAAATTTTTATCTTTGTGGTCTCCCTCACCGTCTGCGATGAAAAATAAAGTATTAAGCTATCATACAAAACTATAAAAAAAGTCTTAAGCATATGGTACCAACGTGAGTCGCTTGTGTGTGACACGTACTTTAAACGAGAATGCAAAAATTAGTAAGTCTTTTTTTGGAAGGGAGGGGTATTTGTTAATATCTAACCTGATTTATGGGTAATAGTCTCAAAAAGGTTGGGAACCGCTGGTTTAGACGGAACTTGATTTATACTGCGCTTGATTTTTTTTTATATCTTCCGAAAAAAAGGTTAAATAAGATACTTCATCGTCTTTACTGACACGGGTCAATATTGAGCTAGAGCAGTGAAACGTATAGGGAACTTTTTTCACCCACTAAAGTAGTTTGAGATCTTGGAAGCATAACATTTCGAACAAATCCAAAATAAAAGACACCCTAATGTATATTATAATGTAATTAGATCAATATAATACCTGAAATTCTTCCTTGAGCAATGATTAGCTTTGCAATAATAACAAACGCAATTTTTTGTAAAATCATTATTACCGAACAAATGAAATGTTATGGGAAAAATATAAATCGTTGCGACCGTAAGTATTAATTAAATTTTACGTGCGAACGATAGCCAGTGATATATATGAAAATGTAATTATAAGCGTTTAGTTAAAAATATTTAAAAACTCAGTTATCTTAGTTAATAATGATGTGTTACCGTAAGCTTCTTTTTTTGTACACTAATTTGTTTTTAAAATACGTGTCTTTTCGGCCTATTTGGTTTTTCTATGACGTCATATTATTCTCAATATTTAATGTGAACTACCTTATTTGTTTTCTATATTTTATGCAGTTGTGTTGTACGTTTATGTTTTACACAGAACCCTATTTAGTTGTTATACATATGTTTAACTCACACAGTGTGAATTTATTCAAATACTGTATCGTGGTAGCTTACAGAGGCGTTGAATGAAAAAATTGTAGTAAAAATATTAAGTAAATTAAAAATATCTTAAAAATTGAAATTTAGTGAAACTGTTACTTTTACTATACTTTGCCTGTTAATTATAGCTTCGGTAAATAAGAGAATTAAATTTGGAATTTACCAAAAATAGAAGCATTCTGTACAATTTCAATATTATAAGTATAAAGATCCATATAAAGTACACGTAACAATATTCTGTTATCAAAGTAATCAAATTTTATGAAATAATTCATACAACACTACAAAAATACATAAAACCGAAAATGTTTCTTGCTTTCATGTTATGTGTGCTAAAATAAAGAAATGACATTTGCAGTGTTAGTTTTTATTTATTTTCGACAGATAACCTCTTCATGTTTTAACTTTATATGTATAATATATGTTGAAAATTAAAAATTTACTTTGATAGGTTTATCTATTACAGTCTACAAAGCCTTACTACTATTATTCACTAAAAAAAAGTAATATAATATGAAAGGGGCGAAGAAGAAATATAATTTTTAATTATGTTGCAAATGACTTTCATCTTCAAATATTGAGGGAAAAAATCTCAGTAACAACTAGACCACAACAGCATGTTGCGACAAAGTACACAAATTAAAAAAAAGTAAGAACCGTTCAACGTTATGATTCGATTTGTTTAATTCAATAAGTTATATATAAGTCTTACTTTCTGACTTATTTGAGGCTAAAGTCCTAAAACAGCAGGTTTAGTAATACAAAAAAAACCCTGGGTTAAGGGGGAAGATTGGTGAAATGCATGTTAGAGACTATTGTTGGACTAATCAAAAAATGTTCTTCGTAAACTCATTCCAATCATTTTTTTTGAGAAGATATTGTGAGTCATAGTTGAAAGCTGAAAATCGCCAGATTTTTTAAAGGTCTTAAAGGGTGAAAAATTATTTTTTTTTTAACTTCTGCTCTCATTTAGTATCAAATTAGTATCAGGTTTTTAATCGATTAAGAATAGATACGAGTAGTAGTAAAGAAAATTAATTCAACGGTTTTAAAGCTATCATGCGAACAGACAAAAATAACAATTGCTTTTGCATTAAAGCAAAAAGGTATGTGTGGAACTGGTTTAACGCTTTATTAATACTGTTTTGTTAAACAAAAATCTGTATAATTCAATTGTTTGATACATTTTTATTTTTATAATGACAGCTATTTATATACTAAATGTTTTTTTTTTGTAAAAACCTGACTGTAGTGTTTATGTGTATTCCTCATTATTGACAAAAATATTTAAGGTGTTCGACACTTGTCCTATCAAATAGGTGGTAAAATATTTGTCACCGACACTTGATAAGAAGAAAGAAACCCAGAATATTTACCAGAAGCCTTATCAATTAAGATATAGAAAAACGTAAATGGATTTTTAAAAAAAAATAAAAAACAATGTTATTTTGGGTAATATAAACCAACCTTTGTAATTGATAAAAATAATCTTAAATTTAATAACCTTAATTAATCGTGGTGCTATTTATTAAGGTACGCTCTACGCTACATTACCTCTGATGCCTACACTAGACGTGTTCGTGTTTTATTCTGCTTCTTGCCACGGCTTACCTACTCCCCCACTGCTATTTTGGTTGCATCATTTAACTTTAAGGAGCAACTACTGACATCTCATAATTTTATCATTAGAATATGGTGGCCGTTTACATACAAATGTATGTTTACAAATGTATGTCAATTATGTAAATAAAGTTAACGAGTAAAATATTTTACTGCGATTTTGCCAATATTAATTAATATATGTAAATTTAAGTATTAATAAACTTGTTTTATTTAAAAACCAACAATGAATTATTATACAACTTTTTAATTTACTAAGTAAAAATGCGCAAAGGCACTTTTCTAGTAGGTAATCAAAACGACGATGAAGGATGAATGTGTCAATTTCTTACCAAATATATGTAAATAATTGCAACTCGGAGTCTCTAAGATTAGGACATAGGAAAAACAAGGAATCGAATGAAATAACAGCCTAAATTAGAATAAAGCTATCTGGGGAAATGTACCACTTAGAATATCACTATTTAAATGTTGTAAGGTTAGGATAGGTTAGGTATAACCTAACCTGACAAGAGGTCCTTTTTTTGACTACCACATCACATAATATGTAATTTTAAATTATTTTATAATTAAAGAAAACGAAAAATATATGTTTAACCTGTCATTCAAGATCGGCAAATATTATTTTGTTTTGTTCTTGGCATTAATTTAATAGTTGTAGTAATTTGAAGTGGTAAGCAATATATATATTTTTTTAATTTTAGCGTGAAACCGTACAGCACTGTGTGCACAGTTGTTAGATCAGAGCTATTTTTAAGATAACAAAAAATGTAAATGCGATTAGAAGCAAGCTTAAAAAGGTTTATGAAATATATTATTTAAAAGGCGTACGGTTAGCAAAATCATTTGGATTTTTATAATGCAATTTCCATAAAATTTTGTTTCGCTATGAATTTAACGATAGTAACTATAATCTTGTTTTGCTTAGTCTCGTGTGCGTTTAGTTTTGATAATGAAATGGAACAGAAAAAAGACTATCTTGAAAGAGTACAGCAAACGGCAGACCTCAATTTTGGACACGGGGAAATCCGCGACAAACGTAACCTAACTAGTGAGTTTAAAAATATGACCCTTGGTGATTTGAAAGTAACTTTAGTGGACCTATATACGACGTTGGAGTGTAGTTACATATTAAATTTATATATTCATTCGAATATTTTTAAATCGTATTTGCTATTCACAACCAAGCCGAATCTGACAGCCGACGAAATAGAGATGTATTCTTTTGTAAAAGAAGCACAACGTATGCTGACCGCAATGCACAACGTTGACAAATTTAGTACTGCCAAATACATCATGTGGACGTATTTAGTTTATACAGAGAAAATGGCTAATATCATGAGGCATCCCGAAATAAACTATAGTTCATTTGAAAAAGATTTGATAACGGTCGTCCATCAATCCGTTGTAAATCTTCTTACTCAATTCATTATTAACCCATTCTGTAAGCATTTACACTATAAGAAAAACAAAGTATTCAGTGATTGGCCGGTAACTAAGCATGGCAGTATTACTTTTCATATTTGGACCACGAAACTAAGAAAAGCACGAAACACCGTACTTAAACAATTAGACCTCAACGACAGCAAGGGTGTGAGTTCGACGGACGACAATGCATATTCATTGGACGTATTGCGTTTAAAAGGCGTGTTTGACCAACCTGACACGTTAAACTATTTAATTAGAAAATTGCTCATGAATAGTAAATGGGATACAGGCAAATTGAAACCTCAGGGGTTGTTGATTCTACCTGAAAATGTAGATTGTAATTCATTGGCGATCAGTTCGGTTAGTTTCGAAGAACTTCAAGAGACAATTCAAACCGACTACTTCCCGTCTTTGGTCCGTCAAATAAACCATTTGATAAAATTCCATTCGAACTTCATCCAATTATTAAAAGTGATCCCCTTACAACTGATTAACAAGTATTTGTTGACACTAATGAACTCATTGTCCAATGACTCATATATTGAAGACCTAGTAGCACCAATACGGGATTTTAACAAGGAAATTGCAAATAAATTATCGGTCCTTGTCGACTGTTTAGATTTAGGACATGACGAAAACTTAGCAGGGATAGTTCAGTCCTTGCTTGGAATTTCGAACAGTGGACGTCTAAGTCTGAGTGTGGTGGGTGACGCTAAAAAATTATTAAACACGAACCTTGAGGAAATTGGACAACTACTATTTGACGGGCCAATAATAAATAAAATTACCTTTGAAGCGGACAGTAATTCTGCCGGCTCAATAGCACAAACTGAAAACGAGACAACTGAAAAGTTGAATGCTTTAGTAGATAACCTTGAAGAGATCATAAAATACATAAAGGAAAATATAATCAATTTTGTTAATTTCAAGGGGATACATTCGTTCATCGATATTGAATTTTCAGAAGAGTTTTCAACATTACAAGAACAGGAAGAAACTTTGAAACCACAATGGCATTAATAATCTTGCAATTATATAATAACTATACAATCACTAAATTTATTAACCGATTCTTTTTATAAATATTTCCCGTTTATTACGTATGTTTTCCACTATTTCAAAAATTATTTTTCAAAATAGTTGTTGAATAACAATTTGGTTTAGTTCGAGTATTACAATATTATATATTTTTAGTGTTATTTAATACTTATCATAACAATACATAAACTACAAATGTTTTTTTAATAGTGAATAAAGCTGTTTATTTTTAAAGACATAACATTTATTGACAACTATTTTATTAGAAGGTATGCAAAATATAACAATAATGGTAGTTTAAAAAAAAATTGTTCTTATAATCTCTGGCCGTTATCGTCATAATCGTTATCATCAATTTCTCAAATGTTGCCATTTGGCCTAGATATATTACTTAGTTTCATATTCGTATTATGCCTCGCTCCTACTACAGTATCAAAATTTAACAGGTGTCTGAAAAATATACAAATGTAACATTGGACATTGGCATTATGTAAAAAATGGTCAAATCACAAAAAGAAAATTACATTGCTGCCCGTAAAAAATTTAAAAGACATAGTAAAAATATAATTTACTAATGGAGTTCGTGTATCTGTTGACTTCCAAAAAGTAGTAATTTTAACGCTAATGGATAATTTCAGGCCAGCTATATTTACTACAGGAATTATATGTTTCAATGAAAGTTTTG